TCCAGCCTGGGTGACAGAGTGAGAACCTGTCTCCATTAAAAAAAATGAAAATAAAATAAAAGTAAATAAATAATTTAAGCCCAATGAGGTAGGGATTATTATTGTGCCTATTTTATAGATGAAGGAACCAAGGCACAAAGAGATTAAGTAATGAGCTCAAGGCCACACAGCTAGCAGGTAGCAGAGCCAGGATTTGAACTGAGGCCATTAATCCAAAGCTCCAGCCAGTGCCACTGGGACTCAGTCTCCCGCTGCAGCCCGGAAGCTTCCTAAGGGCCCAAAGTCTAACTTGTCTTTTGGTCCTCAGGTTTATCCAACACGGTTTATCCTAAGAAGGATTTTCCAAGATGAGGTGACTTGAGGTTTGCCGTGCGAGTGACCTAGGGCACATCCTTTACTCTCTCTCAGCCTCAGTATTCCCATCTGCCCGGTGGGGACTCTGGCACCATATCCACTTCATGGATCTCATGAGATAAGGGGTACAGGAAAACTGCCTGAGAAGGGGCAAAGGTCTGGCTGCCAGGAGCCACTCCCTGAGAGCCGAGGAGGAGGACAGATCTTAGCAGCGGGTGCATAAATCCCCAGCCAGCAGCCTGGGTGGGGCATCTGGCTCCGGCCTGCCCTCCCTCGCTGCGGGATCCCAAGGCTTGCTGCCTCTGGGCTTCCCCGCGTCCTGTCTGTGGAATGACGGGAGGTTGGTTTTGATTCCTCTCGGCCCCTTTCCGAGCTGAGCTTTCCTGGGTAGGTGAAAAGGGGCCTCCCTCAGGAAGCAGGGGTGAATCAGATTTCAGGTGGGTGCTGCGGAGGGGGGACTGGGCCAGGATGCACAGCAGGTGGCTGCTGGGATTCAGATCAGCCTCCTTGGATCGTCAGACACCTGCCAGTGACCTCCAGGGGCCTAGGTAGACTTTAGGGAGGGAACACGTCCACATGTTGTTGAGAATCTCGCGTGTCCTTTTCTTCCTGGTGATAAGACGCTTTGCTTTTCCACACATTCTCAACAAGACTTCACAATCCCTGGTCTAAATGCTTTTTGGGAGGCACTTGGCTTAGCTTGAGGATACCCTGATGCTGGAACCCCAGCATTAGGAGCTGAAGGGAGGGGTTAATGGGGGTTGGGGTTGGTGTCCCAGCGAGTCAGAGCCTAGCGTTTCCCAGGATGGAGGAAGGGGGAAGGGTCACAGGAGGGACAGGGTTGGGGAATCTCTTAAAAGATGAAAAGTCTTAACCGCTTTCTGGACCTCACCTTTCTCTTTCTCTTCCTTCCACAGATGAACTGGGTGAGTACCACGAGGCAGGTTTGCGGGGAGGCTGAGGGGTCCAGGTGCTCACAGAGCGGGGGGGTCTTGGCCTTCCTTGTTGAGTGGGGGAGGGGTGTCATGGTATGACTTCCAGGACTGTAGGGGGATTTGAACAAAGCCACACTCCCAAGGTACTTAGCCACGCTTGACACTTGGAAAACACTCAGCATGTGTTCTCTGCCTTTAATGTCATTATTACTACTATTGTCGTCATTCATTCATTCAGCGAGTGACATCGGGCCCCTCCCGAGTGCCAGGCACTGTGCAGGCACTGCGGACCCAGCTGATAGTTGAGTAGGGGAGACAGAGGAAAGTGAATAAATGAATGAGATAATGTTAGGTCGGGCTAAGAGCTGTAAAGGAAATAAATAGGAAGAGGGAGAGATGGCCTGGGGAGGACACACAGCTCGGGCCTTCCTGAAGAGATGGCATTTGAGCTGAGACCAGAAGGACGAGAAGGAGCCAGCACGGATAGAATGGGGAAAGGTGTGGAAAAGGCAGTTGGAGGAGCAAGTTCAAGGCCCTGGAGAAGACCAGGCTTGGCGGGTGCAAGAGACAGAAGAGAGGCCAGAGCAGGGTGAGAGAGGGGTGGCGGGGCTTGGCAAAGCCCAGGACAGCAGGGGCCTTTTCCCATAAGGCTCGTGGCTAGGGTGAGGCCTATGGGGTTTTGGTTGGGTTTTGTTTTTTCTGGGATGAATGGAGTTTTCAGAAGGTTTTAATGTGGGGAGGGTGTTGATTTTGACTCTAGGGGAGGTGGGAGCCATGGGAGGCTTCTGAGCGGAGGAGGGACAGGCTCAGACAGAAAATCCATCTGGCTGCGTGTGAGGGACAGACTGAGTGGGGCAAGGGGGCGGTAGCAGGGAGAAGTGAGCTGGCCATGGCAGTGGTCCAGATGGGAGATGATGGAGGGTGGACCAGGGTGGCCGCCGTGGGGCGGGGAGAAGCGGTGGGAAAACAAATATGTTTTTGAAGCAGAGGCATAGTGGTGGAAGAACTTAATGGATTGGACATAGCAGATGAGGGATCATGAGTAATTAAAAAAGACCCTTCCGGCTTGGGTGGCCGGTAGTGCCACTTACTGATGCGAGGATGGCCAAGGAATGAATGGGATGGAAAAGGTCTCGGGGATAATCAAGCTTTTTCTTTTAGAATCGGGGTCACCCCGCATTTCTGCTTCTCCCGCAGAGATCATCGACGAGTACATCAAGGAGAACGGCTTCGGCCTGGAGGGGGCGCAGCCGGGCCCGGGCGAGGGGTTCCCGCGCCTCGTGTCCCGCGGGGCGGCCTCCCTGAACACCGTCACCCTGGGCCCCGCGGCGCCCCCGCCCCCGGCCACGCCGCCGCCCTGGGGCTGCTCGCTGGGCCGGCTCGTGCCCTCCGCCCCGGGCCCGGGCCCGCGGCCGCACCTCGTCATCACCGAACAGCCCAAGCAGCGCGGCATGCGCTTCCGCTACGAGTGCGAGGGCCGCTCCGCCGGCAGCATCCTCGGGGAGAGCAGCACCGAGGCCAGCAAGACGCTGCCCGCCATCGAGGTGGGGCCCGCGGCGGCTGGAGCTGGGGCTTAGCCCGCACCCAAGATTCATGTGCATGCGTTTATTCCTATATTTGATGGTGGTTATTATTATTGCTGTTGCTGTTGTTGGACTGGGTAATACCATCACTTAGCTCTGAATCTAAAAGGTTCTAAGGGGGATCGAAGGAAAGGCCTTATTCCTGGCAATTCAGCAGTATCTAGCAAAATTGTTATTGCTCATAAAGGCATCGCAGCCTCCTGGTTTACAAGCGAGGCCTTAAGAATCAGAGTGCCTGGGTTTGAATCCGCTTCTGCTATTTTACCAGCTGTGCAGCCTCGGACAGGTTACTCAGTCTCTCTGTGCCTCAGTTTTCTCCTCTGCTAAATGGGATGATAATAATAACCAACCACATGGGGTTGGGGGGAGGACTAAGTGAGTTAATTATACATGCCAAGGGCCTCTTACATGGTAAGTACACTGTAGAGATGAGCTGCTGGTATTATTAGTGTTATTATTATCATCATTTCTCTTAGGCCCAGCCACTCCCCTTCTAGGAATTTATCACGTATATATGTCTGCTGCTGAGTGAAAAGAGGGAGGTATAGGGTTATCCATTGCAGCCTTGTTTATATAGCCAAGAATTGGAAATTCAAGGTTAGTAAAGAATTGGTGATATAAACTATGACCCCATACACATCAAGTCCTGCACAGCTGTAACAGACACATCCGTGTATGTGTATGTGTGCAGATAAATATAAATATGGACTGGTCAGTACAGAAAAATTGAGAAATGAAGGTGTTCCCTAGGTATTGGTGTGGAAGTATCATTAAGATATATTAGTAATAAAAAAATGAGG